GCAGTCTTGCGGATGTCCGAAAAGCGCCCGAGAGACCGTGGGGTTTGCCATGGGATGCCATGGATTTGCCATGGTCCGAACAGCAAAGGAACGATCCCAGGTGTGTTTTGGATTGCGGGACCCTCGCAGCAATCCAGCTCATCTATAGAACAAGTCAGTTGACCAGTGAGTGAGTTTGTACGCTGTTGATCTCCTCCAGTTGTGCCGGTATTATATGTGGTATCCATTGGTATCCTCATGATCAACGATCCCCACTAAGAAAGAAACCTCCGAGTCGCTCCATCCTAGTCGGCGGTCCCATCTCCCAGTGCCCGTCCGTCCCGCCCACCGGTGACCACCCTCGGTGACGGCGGCCGATCCTAGACACAGTCGCATCATGGATTCACTTGCTTGGAAGGCCGACTTCAATGCAGCCGTCCCCTGATCCGCGCGACGTTTTTCGAGTGCACGGTCACCACCAGACCGGACATCGGAACACAAATTACAAGCATGTTGTCATATTACAATGGTACTTTGCGAGTAGATGCTTTGATCGGCGTTCCTGTTGCGAACGCCGGAACGTGTTCAACAAAAGCCCCTCTCGTTGGCGCTTTTGGGCCATGCCAAAGGGTATCTCAGGTGAACGGAGTGAACGTTCTTCAGGACCTGTGAGAGGATCGTTGTTTCATGTACGTACTCCGGTCGACCAAAAGGGCCCCCCGAGTGACCCCTGACTGTAATCCACTTCTGGGGATCTGGAGGGACATGGCACGAATCCACCTGAACCACGGCCGCAGCAGCCGTGCACAGGCGCAGCCCGACGGAAACATCTTCATGCATCGTTTGCGCATAAAACAATCCACGAAAGAAATCAAACAGGTGTGCCCCAGATCTAAGCAAACCCCTATTGACACATCCCGGCGGCCACCAAACTTAATTATAGTTGTTTAAAAGTCGCTATAATTCACTTTTGCTGTTTCGTGTGTTTACATGTGTCTACCAGGATTTGTCAGGGGGAGCCTTACGTTCGCTGAAGTGCTCAGCTTTCCGCGTGGCCTCCCCAAGGTCGTTCTCTGAGATCTCAAGGGTCTCCAGCACGAACGGGTTGACCTGCGGCCCACAAACCAAGTGGAACGTTATGTGTTCCATTTTGATTTCCCAATGAAGGAAAATTGGAAAGGGATGGACAAATTCTAAGGAACTGGACCATAGCCTCTCAACAGGTCAGGCCATTCAATAACAATCTTCAATACGCCTTTGGTGACGAAAACGTCCAGGCCAAATTCCTATGGACGTCATACAGGAAGTCATGGACGTTTGTGTGTGTGTTTAACTATTTTTCTCCTGCCTGACATGAACAACACAATTTGGTCGCTTGTTTTGGCAGAAAGAAGAGTATGCCATGCGAATCCTTTGGTGCAAGCAAACTCAGAACGCAGTGGTGTTTGTCATTCTAAAACTTCACAGCCATCAACTGCGTTAACGATTCAATGTGGAAGTTGAATACACAAGGCAAACCATCAACTTTAATGTCAGAAGACATGAGGAGGTATATCTTCAGAGCCAGAAGAGCCCCCAAAGATACACATGTTTGATACCAAAACCCCCTTTGCATGATGTTTCATTCGACGCGACAACCGTTCACAACGTTTTTGGGCCCATTTCCGTCGAAGCCAAAAGCCAAAAGCCACGTCCATCCGCGGACTAAACGCTCAGGGCGAGCAAAGAAATGTTGGAACATAGAAATGCTATGAAATGTTGGAAAAAACACACCTTACCCTACCATCCCATTCGACAGAAAGAGAAACCGACTACACTGGCTACACCGCCCAGCTACGCATGCTCTTGGCCCGGCCTCCAAAGCCTTGGCCAAGCACATGGCACCCCTCTCGCCAATGGCCTCAAGTGCCGGGGCCAATGGCCTGGCCAAGGGGTGGACCCAAACACCAAAAGGAATGTCACCCGTTTTCGGTTCCACAAACATATATGTGTTAACACTTCTAAAACATGTTTCCAGGATAACCCAGGCCTTTTCCATGAGAACCATAAAATGACCGGTTGAAGGGTTCATCAAATTATCACGACAAACAAATGTTCATGTGGTCGCGGATCTTCATCAGCTACACGCCAGCTGTGGTTTGTTCTGTCCATCCATGGAAATCCATGGCTGGCATGGGGGTTCTTGCTGCCAAGCTTCCTTCTCTATAGACATCTTGCAAACTGACTCACGGGAACATCACACATCTCCAAACAAATGAATCACTTCCTGCGATTTTCATCCGAACGCATCCAGGGTCACGGGCCCCCTGGTTGTTCACCCTGGCAGCCCAGCATTGCGGCGCAGGTCCAGGTCCAAAAGGAAGTCGTTCTGCCGCAAGCCGACGGCCAAAAGGGCCGCTCCCTTACATCCCAGGCCTCGATCGCTCAACGAAGAGGCTGACATCACAGGGTTGGCCAAACAATGCCAAACATGTTTCAAACAAAAGCATTGGTTTGGGGGGTCTTCGGGGTCTTCCTATTCTACAAAATGATATCCATGTATATAGTCTAGATCGACAATCAGTCGATGTGCATTCTATCAAATAGGCTGCATTGGTGTCGTCTATTCTTCCTTCTAATGGTTTGCGGTCATTCATGGATGGCATGCCACCTGCAGTTGCTGCTGAACGTCCCTGATTCAGTCATCTTTGCGAGAGTCGGGCTCTTTCTTGACCAAAGGCCAGATCTCAACAAGAATATTTACTGCTTCAGGAGGAAGAAAGTTTGGCAACTTCCCTCCAGAATCCCATTGGCATGACTTCTCTTTCCGGAAATTCAGCGGATGAATTTCCACCCAAACAACAATACAATACTACAAATGTATAGTTCACGGCGGAAATTTACCCGCCGGCATTCCACTGTGATCCTCTGTAGGTAAGGGGATAGGCGGGGATAGGGTTGTAGGTCAGGTCATGTAGTATTCACAGGCGTGTTGCCAACTTTTGTCCTGTGTGCGTATAACATGCAGGATGGTTTATACTATGAATAGATACAGCTCCCCCAACCACAAAAAACAACACCCTGATAGATGGTTATCAGTACAGTATCCCGTTAATCCTGTTTGTTTTTGTGTGCTCCTTGAGGGTCAGTCCTTGGTCACCAGCGTCCTTAAAGCACCATCTTTCTCGATCTGATTTTCCACAGGGAAGCTGCTGACACTTGATATACATCGTCGATCTGTGTGGAGTTGTTTTCCTACTTATCCAACCCACAACCAACAAGCGTTTGAAGAGTTCTTGGACTTGGCTTTTGCTCATTCGGGAGGAGTGGAGCGGCCTCTTGTTCATTTCTGAGTGACGCATCCAATATGTCTGAGCAAAAGGCTCAGCATGGCTGCACATTCAAGCCACTGATGAGAAATTTTGACACAAATTGGCCCAAACTAATCGTTTCACCTACGCATCCACTACGCATCCACGGATATATTTGGGGTCCGCCTTTTTGCGGTGAAACGATCAAACCTACTAAACGTACGTCTAGTTCAGGAACCTCCTGTTGTTTATATATAGCCCTCTATAAACGAATTCATAGCAAGAAGCTACTAGGGGCTCCTGGCCTTACAACTAGGAGCAAAGACGCTACTAGGGGCTCCTGGCATCGCTACGAACGGAGTGTTCTTACTACTAGTAACAAGAAGCCAGCAAAGGGACTTCCTCATACCCTACTCGCCTGGACCCGACTCCCCACTCGCACGGCGAGAAGAACACCCGACCGAACGCCACCCGATCTGCGGCCATGGGGCCGATACCAGGCCTCAGTATCACCGAACCCTGGCCAAACAATGCATGGCCTCTTAGCTCAGACTGGGACCGCGAGAAGTGAGAGAATGAGAGAGAAGATGAGAGAAGCGAGAAGGGAACAACATGGAACAACCCAACAAGTCAGGATTTGGTTGGCCTTTTGAAGTTCGTTCCTGGCCTCCTGATCAAGCTCCCAGGCCTCGATCTTCGGTGTGTTTTTGGGCAAAGAAGGGGTTTTAGATGGTTTTAGTAAAACCTACTATAAGGCAATATAACACATACTTACAACATACAGTACAACCATTTGGGATTCATTTGGGGAGTCTATCCTTTGGATACCACTGAAGCTCCCCACATGAGGAGCCAGTCTCTTCACCGACTCTTGGAGTTGTCTTCTGCGACTCTATTCCTAGTCGACTCCAATGAAAAAGCGTCCTTGCTCCGTTCGTAGTAAGGCCAGGAGCGCCCCGAACGTAGCGTCCGATCGCTAGGATCGTAAGGAACAACCTTTGCTCCGTTCGTAGCGATGCCAGGAGCCCCTAGTAGCTTCAGTCCGTCCTTACTTATTAAAAATGATTTAAGTTGGCGCCTACTAAGCTATAGGGAGATTAAGGGAGGGACTAGCAACTAGGAAACTCCTAGCTAGGGCGCAGGAGAGCTCACGCTTCTTTGCCTGAGGGCGGGGGGTGGGAGCTTCCCTGAAGAAGCGTCCGCACCAACTTGTTGGTTCTTGTTTTACTCGCCAAAACATGCAATCCACACCTTCGACCGGTGTAAACGTCGTTGGTTCTGCGACACAGGCGCAGGCGCAGGCTTTGCAAGGATTCGCTCTGCAGCAGCTGGGCCAAGCTGCCTGGGACCTCCTTGGGCACTCGGCCTGCGCTAAACATCGACCAGCGGTTTTCAGTGCACCTGTATCTATAGATATTCTAATTGGATGGAACCAACAGGAAAGAAAATACAAGGACTTCGTGGAATCCCATTGGTATGAACAAGCACTATTTATCAAGCAGGTTTGGAATGAGGGTCATTGTGGCAGGATGCGTGAGTGGTTCCGCACTTGTCTTCCCAGCCACAGCCACCTTGCATCAAAACACCTTGTCACCTCTGATATCCTCTGATGATGTATATGGATTCTCATCAAAGGCACACCACTCGATCGAAATGGAAGGACATGTCATGATCTGCGGTCTTCTTTGCGCACTGTTTTCCGGCTCGGCCGCCGACGATCGCTGAATCTGTTCAGAAATTCCGACCAAAGATGGCACAAGTCGAGTTTTCTCTGGTCGGAACCCGTTCAAGAGCACCCAGATCTTCTTGGACCCTGGAATTTGGTGCATGCTTGCTTCTTCTACCAGCAGCCATCCACCATGACCAGGGAGCTTTACAGTCATCTTGCTCAAGGTCTGGGGGGGGGATTGTGCGATCTTGTAAAGCATTGTCGACATATCTGGCAATACTGGAACGGACTTTCTCCCAATCTGTTGGCTTCACGAGCTTCCGCAAGCAGGGCATGTTCGATTGCAAAGCTGACGGTGGATCTGCCGTTTGCTCAGCCTGCTCATCGGGACGTGCAAAGTTCAGGTGTGCTTTCTCCACATCATGAAGCTCTGTATCGACATCCACGAGCAAAGTCATCTGTTGCAACTCCACACAAGCATCGAAACAAGAACTGTGTCCACTACTTGCAGATAGCATGGACTTTGAGTCTTGGGTTACCACTTTCACCTGATTCTGCCTCGCAGCATTGTTCAACAGGACTGCCGGCACTGCATCTTCTTCAGCATCGGGATGAGGACGTGATTCGGGATCTTCTTTGAAAGCGATGATGTGGTAAGGCTCTTCAGCACCAAAGAGACCTGGACCAGGTGGACGTCAACCACTCGTTGGGGTTCTAGCAGGACTTGGAATCGGACTTGGGTTTCAGTATATTTTAGTATAAATCCCGGATCAAACCCGATCCAGGTTCCGAACCCGAACCCCACCTGGAACAGGCACATGGCAAATATCTGCACCAACACGAATGCCAGCAGATGTACGCAAAGAGATCCTCAAGGAGGAGGGGCATGCAGAATCTTTGGAGTCTGGCCTGCCAAAGGCCTGAGTGGAGGCCTCAATGAACTCGCCAAAGCGAGCCTGTTCATCTTCAACAAGTAAATGTTGAAAGGACCTGCCTTTCAAACTCACATCGGTGAGAATCAAATGCTTTAAGCATTCGCTCTCTTGTGCGACATTCATGTGGTTGTCCAAGAGCACTTCGCCATCACAAGCACCTCTCAAGACCCTCCGGAAGCCGGATACCAAAGACTCCGCATCGGCGGAATCCAACTGCGCATAAATACGTCCGCGAAGTGCCATGTCGATGAACAAAGAGGAAGCTGTGGCGACAACAAACACAAAAAGCTGGGTAAAACACAAAAGTTCCAACTCCAAGCCCTGCTCTTCAACACAAATAAGGTAGACAAAGACTTGGGCCGTGGTATACAGCACTTGAAAAGGAATTGAAGTTCGTGGGTCCAAAAACGCCAAGACCAATAAGAAGCGACACGCGGTGACAAAGCCTTGTTGCAATGTAAAACTCGATGCGTTTTGTGACGCTGTGACAAGAAGGATCAGCAATGTGAGGGTATGCATCAAGTAACTCAAGGACTGCAATTTCCAGGGAGTGCAATCCACCAACTTAGTTCCGATCACTAAGTGCTGGATATAGCCTGCTATGAAACTCACAGCGCACGTCGTGGACTCCAATCCACCCGTTTTGAAGGCTTTGTGCATCCACCCAATGGCTAGAACCAAAGCGAGGTGAGACAAACAACGGCTGAACAACTGGTAGTTCCTGTCAGGGTAGTGATCGAAATAGTTCCCTCCCCAGCCTCCCCATCAAAAATGTAAAATGATTGTTCTTCTCAGTGGGTGGTTTTTTCCAGTCACACTTTGCACTGCCTAAGCAACCGGATTGGTCGACCTTTCTGGCACATCCAAAATCGGGGGTCTCAACACAGTTTCAACAGGCCTTTGGCGAAGCTTCATCATCTCTTCTTCAACACGGCCGTCTTTCAAAACATCCACTGGTGTCTTGGCCTCTCAGCGGTGGAAAGCGGATGAGAAACGGCACTCAAAGAGTCATCGGGCGAACCATTTCAGACGTACCTTTCAACAAAACCACACCACTCAAAATTATATGTTTCCACTTTGGAGTGCTTTGGCTATGCTTGAGTTATCTTGAATTCACCAAAAGCAAGGGCGGTTCAAAATCCCTGTTTGAAGCCCAGATTGTTTTTTCATCGGACCTGCATCAGGGAACTCATCCATCCTTGCAAGGACGACCAGTCCTCATTGGTCAAAAGTACGTGCACTGGGCACCAGCAAAGCACCACAGCCGCCAGTACACTCGAGGGGTCCATGAAGCTGATTGCAAGAGTTTCAGAGCGACTTTAACCCGCTGAAAAAACTTCATCATACGCACGGACTAATACAAATCATGGAACATTATGAAGCAAAATCACCGACCCCAGTCTAGGACGACGATCGTGAGCGTGAGCGGAGCGGGGCCGGCGTTCTTGAGAGGGACTCCGTTGAGCGGTCGGCCGTCACATTGCCAAACATCTGCCAAAATTTTGGCACATGTTAGAATTCTAGATTCGTCACTGGCCGTCAAGACTTTTTTGCCTTTGGATTCAGGCATGGGGCCATGTTGTGGTGCGGTCTCGGGCGTGCTGCCAGGAAGAGCAAATGCTCACACGCGCGCACGCGCGTGCGGTCCATGCGACAACTTTGGTGGCTTCCTGGAAAGTGTACCTATATCGCATTGTTTGTGGAGTGCTCATGGGACCCGCGAGCCACATAGTCATAAGGTTCAAAGCGCCGCGACCAAAGGTTCACTGGACTGGGCTTTGCATCTGCTCAATTGACAATTCTTCAGCATGAGCTGATCTATAGTCGAGTAATTTTGAAGTGCAGTGGTCTATTCGTACTCGCATGGATCAGGCTGGTGGCGTCGCGACCAGCCCCCGACCCCTCCTGGGCGTTGCAGGATCCCGCCGCCGTCAGGCGGCTGTCCGACTAGCCTCCGGTGATCTCCCAAGGCCAGCGGGGAGGAGGGCTCAGAGTTTTCTGCTCTTGCGCGCAAACGCACATGCAAAAACATTGAAAAATCACTGTGTGAGTAGCAAAGCATCATGTTTCATTTTTTGATGCTTGTAGGGTACACCCTTCCTTCATGATGGCTTAAGGGCCCCACGGTGCGGGTTATGCCGCCCAAGTTGCCTTGCGTTCCTGGCATGTTCTGTTTCTGGTTTTCTGGTCAAAGCAACAGCCATAACAACCACCACCACCACCACCACCACAACAACAACAAAAAAAAAATGACAACAACCAGCCACTGCCACCACCACAACAGCAACAACAACAAGAATAAGAAAAAGAAGAAGAACAGCAACAACGTACAAACAAAAACTGCAGGCCCGTTACAACATATCTTCTTCCTTTGTCTCTACGAGGGAGTGAAGCAAAAACTGCAGCCCCGTCGTTGTTGTTAGACCACCCGAAACCAACCAGCCAACAAGTACTTTTACATACTTTTACCAGTGGTGGTAGTGTTTGTGCTAGTGATAGTGCTAGTACTAGTACTAGTCGTAGTTGTTGTTATTAGTAGTTAATGGGAAGTAGGTAGGTAGGTAGGTAGGTAGTACTGCATAGTAGCACTGGTAGTAATGGTAGTAGTGGTAGTAGCAGTAGTGGTGGTAGTAGCAGTAGTAGTGGTAGTAGTGGTAGTAGTGGCGGTAGTAGTAGTAGTAGTAGTAGTAGTAGTAGTAGTAGTAGTAGTAGTAGTAGTAGTAGTAGTAGTAGTAGTAGTAGTAGTA